ATTGTGCCGTTGAGGTTGGCTGTCTGGATGGCCGCTTTGAAGCGTGAACGGCCGTACTGGATGTGCCAGTCTGTTGGAGGTCCGTACGGCTGTCTGGGCGGTTTGGGTGGCTTGGATTCGGCCATCTCTTCTTCCTCCACTTCGCTATCTGGCTTAGTGGGCGTTGGATTTTCATCTGATTCCCCGAATGTGGCCAGGATAGGCGAGGCGGGTGCCTGTTGGGATTCCTCTGTTTCCATATAAGTATCTGCCATCCAGTCGAAGGCAGCGTCTACTTCGTCTTCGGCTGTGGGTAGCCAGCTGGCTGAGGTACTGCCCTCTGCTACTAGCTGTTCTGCAGGCTGTTTAGCTTTTGTTTTTTGTATTGTTTTGGCTGCCTGTTGTGGCTGGGTGTTGGGTAGGGGTGGACCCTTACTCCTGGTGTTGCTGTTGCGGATTGCCATGGCTGTATTCTGCCTTTGGGCGTCCTCTTGGCCGTTTTATTGTGGATTTTAGGCGATCAGAGTAAAACGGAAAAAGTTTTTTTTTTCCCAAATTCCTTATTACTAAAAAGATACTCCCTAAACTGAAGTTTAATCTCATTCCCTTCTTAGATTAATTTATTTATAAGTATAAATATTATTAACTTTGAAGTAGTTACTCTTAATATTATTTTATCTTTATATATTAAATCTTATATCCAAATAATACTACTTAATTTATTTAATTATAATAATTTTAATAATATTCAAAACCTTATTACAATAATCACTATCAATACCAGAGATATTAATAATTCAACCAAACTTAAAGCATTAATTAATATTACAGATAACAGATCAATTCTTTTATATAGTATACTGAAACAAAACTAAAAAAAAAAGATTTTTACCTAACCAACATTAATGGAAAAACAATAATTTATAGCAAATCTAGTATTTCAAAGAATGTTATTATGATAGTTATTTGCAAAGACCTATTATTACATGTATTTAAAATATGTGATATGTCCAAATACTGTTTTTCAATTGTTTTGAAATTTAAAAGAAAAGTAAATATCCTTTTTATTGTAATCTATTTTTTATATAAAAGAAAAAAAAAAGATCCAGCCATTAGACAAATTCATTAAGTAATCAAATTTGTTATTTGTAATAAATTTTATCACCTGATCTTAGGAAACTTTAACTCTTATTCCAAAGACAGCCTCTTTATCAGAATTAAAACTTTATTCTACAAACAACTAAGCTACAAATAACTTGTCAACTATATAGATATAGAACAACAATATATTATTATTTATTAGAATAATATTTGTTTATAGAATGAAAAAATAAAATATCTTTTTCTTTGAACAAGAAATTTATCTTTAGCAATTATTAATAAATTTGTCAAAAAAACATTCAGTTATTTTTCTTATATACAAGAAGCATTGGAAATTCAAAGCTGAACCAAGAAAACTTTAGAAAATTTTTGTCATAAATTTAATAATTCTATAGTAAATTTTGTTAAATTCTTTAAGAAATCACAAAAAAGATATAATAATTAATATTAATATTTTTTAAAAAATTAAGATTAATTTATTTTTATAATTATTTTTTTTAAAGAAGGAACAAAATTAATAATAAACAAAGATATAAAAAATTTTATTAATGAAAATATTATATTGAATATTTTAAGATAATATATATTTGCAACTAATGAAACCAAACTTAAAAAATATAAATCTTTTGAAAAATTGATATTATTAGTTTGTAAAACATTTAAGATTCACTGGAAAAAAAAATATAGAGTGAGTTAAAACTTTAGATAATACTATAAAATATATGTATATATCTCAAAAAGTGGAAAAAATATTGCTTTCATATTAAAAATTAAATAAAGATTTTTATATTCAAGATTATATTTTTTTTTAGAAATGATTAATATTTATTTATTGAAAAGTAAACTTTTATTTATTAAAAATCAAAATTTTTTTATAAAAAATTTAAAATATTTTTAATCTTTTCCTATTAAAGAGCTATCTTTTGATACATTAAATTTATAAAAATATTAGATATTGGACCCATCATTAAATAATGGATTTTAATCGTCATGATTATGTGAATGTATATAGCAAATACAGTATATACTACATATATTAATAATCGGAAACATCAGTATGTTTATTAGAATAAAAACCTTAATGCTTTTTCTTTAATATATGCTTTTGTGATTATCCATAGGGTTAAAGGTATATATTTTAAATCTTTCCTGTCTTCCGATTATAGTATATATGATACACTTTATTGAAGCACTTCAGAATAGACAATATTCTTGATATATTTTTTATGTTGTAATTATCCAAGATAAATGCGTAGTCTCTGACGTGACACCACTCTTAAATATGCGACATATAGTTGTTCATGTGAGAATACAGGAGTTGGAATATAAAGTCCAAACCAGTTCATAGTTTGCCCTTGAGACTTGTAAATAGATATTGAAAATGCAAGTTTGCATGAAAATTGATAGCGTTTCAGAATAAAAGACATTAGAGTAATTGTAGAGGACAGTGCAATGTGAGGTAAGAATATTCTTTTTCCAATTAGAAATCTAGTGACAGGTTCTATTTCAATAGCATGCCATTGAAGTGCTCTAATAATTAATCAAGTTTCATTGCAATGACCCTCAACTATGTTGATATTGTGTAGCAAAATGTTGGAAATACTAATTTTAAGTGTCAATGCATGTGGCAGTAATCCATTAAGGTTTAAAAATTCAAAAAGTCAACTGAATAAAGATCTTTCTGAGCAGAATTATATGTTTTGAAGTTCTGATCTAAGGTATCCTTACTATAGTAAGTTATCTCTTCTCCAGAAAATCGAGCAAGCACTTCTGTATTTAACATGTCAATCTCATTATTTCATGAATCAAGAATTCCTCTCTCAATTAAATATGTCACATCTTGAGCTTGTACATACAGATTTGGATATACAAAGTCAATTAGCCCTTGATATGTATTATATTTATGTACAATATCTGATGGTAAGAAAATATAACTGTTATTATATGTAACTTCAGAAATGCATCCCTCACTAAATTTGGTAGTCAATTAGCAAATTCTCTTTGTATATCAGCATCTGAAGCATCAATTATCATTTGTAAATGCATGTTAATAGTCAATTTCATAACTTTAATATATTTTCATAGCCAGGACTGACATAGACAGGCATTAACAACATCCTCTCGTCTGCTTTTTGAAATAACTGAAAGGAGTTGTCTAAAGTCACTATCAAATATAATAACTTTTCCACCAAATGGTTTGTGATTTAACTGTGGATTGTATGTATTCATGATATTTTGTGAAGTATGGTCCACAGTCTCAAATGCATGATGATGCATCATGGGTGCTTTATTTCAAACTATTAGTATTGTTTGCTAGAGAAGTTTAACAAAATCTATTTGTATTGATATGTTACATGTGAAGTCTTCATTGAGTGCAATGGGAATTTTGAAATATAAATGGGCAGTTCAGTCACCAGTAAGCAATAATGCAACAATTCCAGACAAGGTAACTGTTAGAGCAATTTTACCTTGTAATCACACTTTTGCTAGAAGTATTGAATAGAGAAAAGTTTTTCCTGTACCAGCTGGTCCATCTACAAAGATACATGCAGTATTATTTTTCTCAACTTCCTGTAATATTTCATCATATATAGCTCATTCATTGGTCACTGTTCAAAAGGCTTATATTTTGATTAACGAACTCTGCAAGTGTTAATCAATTATAATTTAACTCCTTAGCTATTAAGTGATTTTCTATATCATTTTCTGTGATGGGAATCGGCATATTAGGAAAAATTTTTAAAGTTTTTTCTTGTTGAATTAGAATTTTATCTAGGAGATATAGTATTTGATTTTTAATATTATTTTCTATCAACTGAAGGGTTGGAATCTGTGTCTGTTGTCGAGCTCGATATAGAATATTATTACTAAGTACAGTCTTATACTTTGTCCAAAGATATTCAGGCTCTATTGGATAACAATTAATCAAAATGATGACAAATAAGTGTCACAATTGCTGTTCAGTTTGTATAGTTGATGCTTCTTCAAGACACTGATTTAATTCTAAGTTATCTTAAATAAGGCCTCTTGCCCGACATGCATCTTTGAATATTATATATTCTACTCACTCTACAGTGCACAAGTGTTCAAATGATTGTGCTCCACATACTATATTTAGAAGCATATGTAGATAATAATGCTCATCCACACCTGGATGTACAAAGTACATGCATCTGATAGTATTTCCACATTCACGTAACTTTCACTTCTTAGAACATTTGTTAAAAACAAATTTACATGAAAATTGTGCATATGTACATTCCTTTGCTTGGGCTAGAAGAGAGGGATTACTGTTAACTTAAGACTACACTGTTAAAGTTGTTTTTTGATCATTTGCTTACTGTATAATAACATTTAATAATTTATTATCAGCAAACATCACCAAATTCTACCTGGATAAATGCACAGCCAATCAAATAATATTAGGTGCCTCACTATGTATTTTGCAGTGCATAATGCATCAGAAGGATTCTGACGCTAACACATAGCATGCATCAATATATTGTTGAATTTTATCTGTCACTTCCAGTGTGTTTGAGTTAATATCCGTTTTATTTCTATTGCTGATCTCTATGGTTGTCTGATTATGTCCTTTATAAATATACTTAAATAAGTATTTTACTGCCTGAACAAAAGAACGAATCTCAACATTGATATGACAATTGTATTTTTTACAAAGATAAAGATTGTAAGGCATAACCCAGCAATTATTCAGCAGAACACCTTTTACTATTACTGTGTGATTGTTATTACATCGATGATAGATAGGATATCTATTTTTATTTTCATAGGAAATTGATTGAAATGGTTTTGAAAATCCTTTAGAACACTTTTTATCCTTCATGCATGATGTACGCATATTTAATGCTTTACAGGGTCCATGCATCATACACTTGACTACAGTTTCATGCTCTTTCGAATATGTGCCTGGATCAGGGATCTCTGCAGATACAATACGGTTATAATTATTTGTGATACATGGTTTGTCCTTATCTGCTAGCATTATTAACATGTGCACATGTAAGAGACCATGCATTTGTGATTCAATAACATAAATATTTGCTGTAGTTTTACCAAAGATCTTATTTTTTAGAATGTCATCGAGTAATGTATTTAATTTTATATAAAAGATATATGCACAAAAATCAGGATAATTCTGTGCACTTTGTCTAACTAACAAAGCTGTTTATATCTTGGCCCAGTTTGGATTACATGTCATTATAATAAACAGGTCCAGTTTACCCATTTGTCTAACAATGGCCATGGCATCCTGATAGAACTGTTGCATATGATGTGGTCTACCAATGAAGCTAGATGGAAGTAAAATACATTTCCCAATATGGGTTTCATTTCATGAAAGTTCATTGTTGGCTATAAGCATATCTTGTAATCCACTATATAAATCAATCTGAATTTGTTTCTGGTTTGACCTGAAATAGTAAAATTGATTCTGTTCAATACAGGCATAGGCATTAACAATATATTGCTGAAACAGACAGCCAGCTCTATGGAGAGCAAATAATTCCTGAGATACATATCTATACACCTGTAGGCGATAACTATAATACTGTATCATTGTTACACATCGTGAGTCTTCTTCCTGATTATCATCATGGTTTTCAAGATTATCAGTATCATCACTTGTTTGATCATATAATATATTACATGTAAGAATATTGGAATGCTATCCAGGCTCACCATGTGGAAAGAACAATATATAATGCAATGAAATATAAGAGAGGTGAATTTAAGAAATTCATTGAAGACCACCTTTTTGCTTATGTAAAATAATATCACAATTTAAACATTCAGATTCTTGATTATTTTCAACCATAAGCACAGCAACTTCTGATGCAATAGGTGTAGTGTACTGGTGTTTATTGTATAATTTGACAATCATCATTTTTAGATCTCATGTTGGATTTTCTCGTAGTAGCTATGCAACTTGCTGAAAGGTATGTATATACAGATTTATCTTATAAAGTATTTCTTGAAGCTCAAAAAGCATAAAACTGTCTAAATTAGGCATGATGCATTGTCTATATCTCTGTTGTTCATCTGTATCATATATATAGATCTGGCAAAATAATGAGTTGGCTTGATTTTCTGGAAAAAGCATACCTATCTGGTGGTACATCTCTCTATGAATGCGAAAGGTATTGTTACACTTGATCTTCGCCCAAGATCATCACTATCCCTTGTTCGATTTTCATTAGCATTTACCCTTGAAATGTTGTCCATTCTAGAATAATTCTTGTATTACTATCTTTGTTATTGTTT